AGCGAGGCAGGCTTGTCCAGGCTCACTGCAAGAGCTTGAGCTCATGGGGTAACCCTGAATAGTCAGCCAGCCGCATCCCTCCCGCCTTCGTTTAAAAAAAAAAAAAAAAAAAAAAATCTACTTTAGACACACACACACAGCCCCGTCTGAGAGGCAGAGCAACTTTTCTTCTGACAGCTGCCACTTTGGAATGGATTTCTAAGCCTATTTAAGTGTTTCAAAAGGCTGCCCTTTGGCTTCTGCTGCCCAAATGAAGGCATTTGTTTGCTTTGCTATGCACAGAGGGATTTTATGGCATTGATCTTAGCAAATTGCAAACTGTTATTATCTGTTTATGTGAGCACTGAACATGTAGATGTTTTTGTAAATAAGATCACCCCCCTGGTTTTTTCTTCCTTTCCAAGCAAACTTTGCGTCGGTTCTTCTTTGTCCTGCTCCTCTTTATCTGGCCTTCTGCCGCATCTTTTTGCCTCCCATGTTATTATTAAAGTTTAATCATTCATACAGAACGTATCCACCTAAATATCCCTTTGCCTCAGCGGTTTTAAGAGAAATGGTGTGCTTGAGTGGAAGGGGCTTGAGTCCGGCAGGTGTTTGGCCTATTTAAATGGTAGACCCCCACACCCGATTACCCATTCCCAAGACAGCGTGTGGATTGGAGCAGGAAGCCTTGTGTCTGCTTTTATTCTAGTTCTCACAAAGTGCAGCGGCTGAAAGAGTGCAGACAGGGATATCAAAGGGTGTTGAGCGACCCCCACCCTCCCCTCCCAACGGGTCAGCTCTGGGGGGGGGGGCGAATTAGTCCTAAACCCTCCAATCCATGGCTTTATTCTGCTAGAGCAGGCGGGCAAGGAGCTTTCACCTCTGCTTTTGGAGTTGTCTGACTGGGAAAAAGCGGCAATTGTGTCGTCTTTCTCTTCCTTTGTGTTGGCGGTGGTTGGGGCAGGGGTGTCCCTTGGACTTTGTCCCTGTCTCTGATTGCAATCAGGAGTGGGCGTGTTATCTTTGTCTTTATTTTGATTAAAACCTGAGTGCATGCTGCCTCCTTGTTTTGAGAAGGAGTAGATCTTCTACTCTGTGTCTGTCATCCTTTGTCAGGGTTACTGTGTTTTGAAACAGTGCAACACACCACCAGTAAGTTTGTTTTTGTCCACCAACTGTCCTCATCTCCTCATTTCTGAGTTGCAGGAAGAGGAGATCTCCCCATGGGTGCGCTCAAGAGCCTATTGGAGGCTGTCATGTATAGTGTTTGGACACTTGAAAAAGAAAATGTTCACCTTATGCTTTGGTCTGATGCAGGGGATTTTTTTTCCTTTAGGAATTTAGAGAAAACAATTGAGAAATACAAATTTTAGTAAAATAAATCTAATCCCCTTAACAATAGCGAAATGCTACGAGTAATTTTCTTTCATCGCATCCCTGAAAATATTCTTGTATTCTTGTTTTATTGGCAAGATATTTTTGCAGGTATGATGGAATGTATGATGTGGTTTAAACATACAGTTGTGCTTAAAAGTTTACATACAGTCCCATCGAAGAAAATCATACATTTACACTTGTAATTCAAATAACCAACTGAAACTGAAAAAGTAGTAATTGAAAAAATACAAAATCGTAATTAAGTAAAATTAAATATTGATTTTTTATTTCATTTTAAAAAATTATAAATAAATAAATGGTCCCAGAAAACACCTGATTTCAGTGACCACCTCAAAGTGTAATTGTAGTTTAGGTGCCCTTAGGATTGTTTGTGTATATATATTCAAATTGTCAGAATGTCCTTTTTTGGGTCAGTTTCAATTAATTTTAATGGCAGATGATTTTAGAAGGGTGTGTAAACTTTCAAGAACTACTGTAGTCTGTATATATGTCTTGGAGAAAGCAGTAAGCATTCATCCAGCCTGTGAATTTTGCAGTAAGCGGTTAATAGAAGCTGATCCGCTAACTTTGTTAGCATTAAGCTATCCACAGCATGCCAGTCATCCAGGTCATAGTCATTCCAAAAAAGTCAAAAAACAATCCAATGGACTGTTTTAGTCCAGTGGATTGTTTTTTAACTTTTTTTGGAATGGCTATCCACATCATCCAGTTTGGCTGATTCAGAATACATAAAGTTGTAGCTCCTTTCCCTTAATTTTTCACATGGTCAACAGTAAGAACTCTATTTGAGCTAGGAAAGGAACTCTAGACTGGTGTTATGAACCCAGCCAGCCTTTATTTGTACAGATGTATAGCTCTTGCAGAATCAGCTCCTCTAGGTTGGAGGCCATGGCTCTTAACTGGACAAGGTGGGCTTGTCCCCTTCAGGTTGGAGGAGAGCTCCTGCTTCAAGTGGAGGGATTTGAGAATCTTGGTGTCCTCTTCACCGGTGAGGGGAGAATGGAGCAGGAGATGGATTGATTGGAGTGGTTGCTGCTATAATGTTAAAGCTGCAACTGTTTTTTGGCTCAGCTCTCCCTTCACCACAACACACTAAGCTCTCCATTTACCTGTTGGTCTGCGTTCCTATCTTCACCTATAGTCATGAAATCTGTATCGTGAGCAAAAATAAGATATCCAGATACAAGTGTTTGTAATGAGCTTTCTCTGCAGCGTGGCTGGGCTCTCCCTTAGAGAGAGGAGCTCTGTCATCCAGCAGAGGTTTTAAGTAGAGCCACTTCTCCACATTGAGAGGAGCCAGCTGAGGCAGCACGAAAATCTTAGTCGGATGCCCCCTGGACACCTCTCTGGGGAGGTGTTACGGGAACATCCCACTGGGAGGAGGTCCAGGGGACGACCCAGGAGAGACTATGTCTCTCTGCTGGCCTGGGAGTGCCTCATTCTGGAGGAGGTGTCTGAGGAGAGGGAAGTCTGGGAGTCTCTGCTGAGACTGGTGTCCATCACAACCCGGTCCTGGATGAAGCGGAAGATGAGATAAGAACATTTGTAAGGCGCATATTAACAGAAATTTGTTGCAACATTTTGTCATAGTTGTGGTATGTGGCTTACTGACTGTAAATACATGTTTAAGGTAGCATTAAATACCAGCAGACTTGTTTGGCATCTGGTTTTCTAACGGATGTGGACTGTTGGGAATCATCAGTGATGGCATACAAACTAAATATGTACAGACTATAGTAATTCCAAGGGGAAAACATCAGTACTTTTCACTTACTGGTTAGTTTTTTGGTCCAGTCAAATTGGTATTAGATTATGCATCAGACTCAAGTCCTGCGTTTCGAGTTAAAGTAAAGTCTTGGTTGTGAATTTTGTGGCTTGACTTGAAGACTTGGGTCTTCATTTCTACCAAACACAATGCGAGTTCTCTGACTTATTTGCAGCTTCATGGCCATAGTAAACATTTATTTCTTAGTGTTAGATGATTTGCAGTGCAAGTGTTGCAATTCCGTGTTTTTTTTTTGCAGGTTATGGAATGAGATTGCCTTTCTTGTTTTAGTAGATTTTCCACTTAAGAATAACATTAAACTAAACATCCTAGAGGTTTTTCTCATGGATTTCTCACAACTGAGTTTACTGCTAACCCAAGATTTGGTTTGTGCTGTGGTTGTTTTTTCTTTCTTTCTATCTACTACACTATATGGCAGATGATCGTCACTACTGTTGCATGGTGTTTACCTTAGCAAGAGTTTTACAACACAGAGCAGGTGAGGATCAGTTTCATGGTTTCTGTTGGATATGTGTGGGTTGGTAGGGCTTAACAACTTTCGCACCTTTGAAAAAGATTTCAAGCTCAAATCAGCATATTGGCTTTTATCTGCAGTCAGTGTGATTTCTCTTCAACATTTTTAAAATAAAAGTCCAGCTCGTTTCTTAAAGTGTAAAAGCAGCATCAGAACGATACAGAAAGGCGTACCTCCAACCTAATTCCCATCCGCCTCACAAGTACCAGGGACAGTCCCCCTGACATCTCCTGAAACCAACAGTCATGCTCCCACTATGAATCGGCTTCACGCTCTTTTTTTTCTGTTTTTTTCTCTTTCAAACTGTTAGTGATTTATGTCATGTAATGTCGGGCAGATAAGATGTAGCAGAGCAGCAGGAAGTAAAACTGCTAAAGACTTAAGGTGAAAGGGTGATGCATTGAAAACCATTCTTCTAGAAAAACTGAATATTTTAGGAGAAAGGGGGAACCATGTCTTTTTTTATCCCAATTCCAGTGTGCATATTGCAAGGCAAACAAGTGTGACATCACTACTATCTACTAGTGCACTTGTTTTATCTCTTGAAGTTCCATGCCGTGCCGTGGAGCGAACAGCAGGCCTAGTGTTGCTGTGCTGTATGTAGTGGGCCTGAAGGAAAGATCTTGTTGATGGTAGGAGGCCTGTTTAGTTTGGAATCTGGCAGGTTTTCATACAAGTGTGCTGAAAACTTGGAGCCCTTTTATCCTGCATTTCAACTGTTGTTGGTGGTCATCATGCTGTTTCCTTGTCTCTCTTCCATTTTTTGCCTCCTCTCTATCCTCCTACTGCAATTCTCGGGTCGTCACTCTGGTGTGCGCCTGCCTTGGTTGCTCTTTCCTCCCCCGCATCCTCAGTCATATGTTGTGCTTGTTTACATCTTGATGTGCAGTTCAGTCAAAGAGTGCTTCTACTTTTTTAATTCCATTTAATTTATTGCAAATCCCATGGTATAAGTAGTATCATGAAGTATATGTCCAGAGTTCCTGTGTGCTTTTTTTTGGATCTGAGCGGTTGGCTTTAGGATCTGGCTTCCTGAATAGCATGTTTTGATGTTCTCTACTCTATCTCAGCAAGTTGTAGCCTTACTGTTGGTACTCTGCCTCCCATCAGCTCTGCATCACCACTACAGAGTAGGAGCAGCTTGCTGTGAGAGAAGAGAGGATACTGGCATTGGTGCGAGGCGGGGGATAAGGAGAGAGAAGTGTAAAGAGAAGATGCTTGAATGCATTATGTGGAGTGTCAGATGTTCAGATTAATGTTGCTTGCCAGGGCAAACAGCGTTATTTACTGTGTCATTGCAGTTTATTTATATATAGAACAGATATAGGACAGTTTTCTAGCTTTAAAAAAAAAAAACATTTCAGTGTGCATAATTTTTTTCAATGATATCTGCACCGTTGGCAAGGTGATGTAACTCCAAGGTGGTGCAGAGTCAATCTGATTCTGTGTGCACACACTTTGAGAGCAGCTGCTCTCCAAACTGGGCCAACAAGATCTCAGCTGCATCGCCACACACCTCTATAAATAAACATGATAAAAAGACACACTCACCTCCACTCTTAGACATATCCACTGTTAAAAGTAGCAGAGCTCAGAGGATCCCAAAGAATCTGATCACCCCTGATTTTTTGACAAACGCAGATCTCACGGTTCTGTAATAGACTATTTGCTTATACATCTTTAATCTTGTATAACAGTCCTTGAACCTAAGGGTATTTTTTTTAATGATTCTTCTAAGCAGTTTTGGTTCTCTTTTGTAGGATGAAGTGTTTGGAGGATTTGGTCCATCTGAAGAACAAACAGAAATACAGAGTCTGTCATCATCCTCTTCAGGTAATAGTAAATTAGACTTAAAACATGGTTCCAGATCACTCTGAATTTGGTTTATGCTTTTCCCAGGTCCAGATAATATTGAAAAATAAAACCAAAAATTGCAGAAATATTTGAATTTCTAGCTTTGTTCCGCATCCCAATTGCCTTAAGATTCCAACTGTCTGTTTATTCTTTTATCTATATATTGGTGGTATTTTTTCATGCTTCAGTACTGAAGCCTAAACGGTGTGTAAGCACGGTTCATTGTGAACCTATTTGCTTTATATTTCAAAAAGGACCACGAACCGTTCAAATCTGAGACAATTGGTTGGAAATTGGTTTAAAAAAAGGTTAGAAACCTTTTGCAAGTAAAATAGATTTCATTTTTATAGATATGATTTTTTTCACAATGTTTACAGCAATTTCCCTGATGCTTCTAGGTGTCTGATGTATTTTGTTCTGTTTCATTAGAAGGAGTACCCCTTCAGGAGAAGAAGCCCAGAGGCCGTCCACCACGAATTCTCACTGCTCAAAAAGCTGCTGCCAGTCTACTGCCCGACTCATCGTATCCCTCTCCAACGCAAGTGAAACCTGATGGCCCTGAAAGGCCCACAGAGAAAGTGAAAAGGCTGCCTGGGAGGCCACCTGGCACAAGTGAGAAACGAAGGGGCCGACCCCCATCTTCAAACAGCAAGAAAATTTGGAGTACTGGCAGCCATGCATCTCCAGAGGACAGTAGGCAGGCTGGATTTGAGCTGGGTACAGATACAGAGGATGAGAAGGACAGAAAGGGCAACAAGAGATTGCCCGGGGGCTCTGCGCAGCCTCATGACACTGAGGCAAAGCTTCCCAAAGCAGGACGGGGTGAATCCAAAGCTAGCTACCTGAAGAGGTTGACAGAGACTAAAACCACCCCTCTCAAGTCACGCCTCAAGACTTTGCCTGGTGCACCCAGACGCAGACGTGGCCGACCACCATCAGTCGAACGGCTCAAAGCTGAAGCAGCAGCTGCAGCACAGCTGTCTGCCTCCATGGAAGGCGGGGAAGGAAAACATAAGGCCTTCAGGGTGCGAGGTGGGGACAGAGACACGGAAACACACAGCACAGAGCAGCCCAACGTAAGGAACATGGATGCTGCCGAAAGCCAAGACTCTTCCAGTCTACCTAGCTCTCCGTCTGCCTCTAAGCCAGGTAGGCCAGTAGGCCTCAGGAAAAGCCCACGGCACAGAAAACCAGTTAGAATTGTCGCCCCTTCCAAACATACTGATGCAACCATCGCCAAACAACTGCTGCAGCGTGCTAAGAAAGGAGCACAGAAGCGACTGGAGAAAGAAGCTGTTGGAATTGTGGGGAGAGGGTCAGGAGGCGGCGAGGCTGGTATCAGGAAGACCCAACTCAAAAACATCCGGCAGTTCATCATGCCAGTTGTCAGTACTGTTTCCCTTCGCATCATTAAAACTCCCAAGCGCTTCATTCAGGATGAGGGCACTTTTGGATCTCCACCTACTGTTGCTGCATCTGCCCAACCTACGCCCACAACCTCCTCATCCCCTTCTCCTGCCCTTGTCTCTGTTACTTCGGTGGCTACTAGCAGTGGAGCAACTGCTCCTGTCGAATCTGTCCCTTCGTCATCTCCTAGTCCCGTCCCCGCCATCCCAACAACAGCTTCTGGTCTGCTGGGCACTAACACCAACACTGCAGCCAATGGGAGATTTAGCCATAGTGCACAATCTTGTGGTTCAAGTGCTGTATCACAGCATTCCTTGCAGCTCTCCTCAGGAGAATCTTCCAGGTCCAGCACCCCGAGCTTGGATGACTCCTCGTCGGACTCCCAGGTTTCTGAGGGCACACAAGCTCTATCAGAGCCAGAGGATGACTCTCCTTCCTCACAGGGAGAGAGGAAGGCCAGTCTTTTAAACAGCTCAAGGCCTACCACACCTCCGTCTGAATCAGAACATGTGCTAGCAGAGGGAATTCGGAGGGGTCGAAGAGCACAGGGGACTGGCCGAGGAAGTCAGAAACAGAGGGTGAGAGAGACGGGAACGGCAGGAGTTAAAAAGCCTATCATTAGCCCACCAACAGGGGTACTGATGTCCTCCTCTTCCCTTGGAAATTCGCAGCAGGCTTCATCCACAGCTTCTTCCCCCTCTTCACCTCCACCTCCTCCTCTCCTCACTGCTCCACAACCAATATCTGCTTCCTCCAGCACAGCTGCTATTGGCGAACACCACCCTCAGCCGTCATGGATGCCTCATCCCATCCCACAGTTTATGTCCGTACCAACAGGGCTGCCAGGCTTGTCGGACAAAAGGAGTCGCTCAATTTTGAGGGAGGCCACCTTCACCTGGACATCCCCCTCCAATTCCTTTGCTAAGTATGCCAAGGAGGGCCTCATTCGAAAGCCCATATTTGACAATTTTCGTCCTCCACCTCTTACTCCCGAAGACGTGGGGTTGCTGCCTCAAGGTGTCCCAGGAGCAGGGGGAGCTGCTCCAGTTGCATTTCCAGCCCCTGGTGCTGGAGCAGGACCAGGAGGCCGGCTGTTTTCCCCCCTTCATCCCCATTCGCACCACCAACACCCCTCGTCATCCCGGTTTGATGCACCCCTCCAGAAACGCTCGCTGCTCCGAGCGCCACGCTTCACACCCAGCGAGGCCCACTCTCGAATCTTTGAGTCCGTTACCCTGCAGTCTTCTTCAGGGAGCAGCCCTGGCTCTCTGTCCCCTCACCAGACGCCTCCTAGTTCCAGCAGAACACTGCGGCGCAGGAGACGACTGGTACCGGGAACACATCGTGGCCACCCACGGTCTCCTTCTCACCCCATGACAAGACGAAGCATCCAAATCAAAGGTGCCTCTGAGGTGTCTGCGCTGACAGGCTCTGTCTCCAGCAGTAACCCCAGCTCTTTGCAGGGGGTATCTGGAAGTCCACTATCCACGAATGCCTTAACGTCTCCCTTCACCTTCACCAATGTCCCTCGGGGTCTGCACTCGCAAGGAACACCTGACACCAGAAGAGGTGGACCAGGAAACCCATCCCCCTTGTCAAACACATCATCATCCGCTTCTTCCCCTCTTTTCCCTCTCTTTCCTTCGAGCTCTCAGGACACTGGGCAAGGAGGTGGGAATGCTGTGAAGGAAAAATGCTCATCAACTTCCCAAGAACCAGTTCCAAAGGAAAAGGAGAGAGAGGGTGAGAAAAACCGTGAGAAGGAGAAGGAAAACAAGAGGGATGGAAGGAAAGATTTGGAGAAAAGAGCTAAGATGTCCACTCCTGATGGCTCCCCAAATGCACCTTCTGGTTTGTTTAACATTGATGGGAGGGACTCAGAAGGCACGGTTGCTCCCAAAAAGACGCCTGGGAGAAAGAAATCCACATCAGTTGATACAGTTTCTGACACTGCTTCCTTAGAAGTCAGAGGAGCCCATTCAATGTCCATTGCTAAAAGTCGCCACATTAAGAAAGGAAGACTGTCTGACAAAGGGACAGAGGTCGAGGAAGCAGAGAAGGAAAAAGAAAAAGAGAAACGAAGTACATCTAACCAGCAGACAGCCAGCCTTCCAGGGCAGCAGGCCAGACACACAGTCCCAGTGCAGACAGAAGCAGGACAGAACCCTCTGACTGACAAGCGACTGGTTGGACTACTAAAGAAGGCCAAAGACCAGCTCATCGCAATAAAGAAGAATAAGCTGAAGCCTCCTGAAGAAACTAAGGTCCAGGTCAGTTTTTTTTCTTCCATTTACATAACTTAACTCTTACTTGATTTTTCTGTTTCTCCCATTTAGCCACAGGTAACGATGAGTAATAACGATAATGATGCTTTGACTACATGCTATGAATAGAAACCTCTACATGTACTCAGACTGAAATGAGATTGGAGGAAAGTCCCACAGAAAGTGTTTTTGAGGGGAATTCTTATCACACAGAAAAAAGAACTAGATGTACTTTTATTCATTCAGAATGCCTTTCTTCCATATGCATAGACTGGTAGCTCTCTCTCTAAAGCAGGACTTGCAGTTTAAAAAAAATGTAAGCAAACCAAACACATACACTGGAAAAAATCAAATCAAAGACAACGCATCAAAACATGTAATGTCTTATTTTAAATGCATATTATCTAATTATCTTATTTTAAGAGTAAAAATACTCATTCCATTGGCAAACTATTTAATTGACCTACTCAAATTAAGGGTAAATACACTTTAATAAATCTTACTTATTTCTAGATTGTTTTTCCAGTGTAGCTTTACACTTTTACACCCTCCTGCAGCCTGGATAAACTGCAGACAAAACTTGACAAATCTCTGCCTCTTCTACATTTTTGGAAACATCTCTCTGATACTGTCTATAAGGTGATCTTTTTTAGTGTTTATCACCCAGCATCAACTTCTAAAAAGAAGAGTTGTCAGCATGATATGTTTATGCATATTAGGGGTGTCCCAATACAACTATTTCATTTCCGACACTATGCCTACATTCCATACAGATATTGACTCGATACAATCTTAGCACTAAGATCTTTGTGCTTTTATTACTTATTTTGTACTGTAGAATGATAGAAAAGGTTTGATCAACTAAAATTACTAAAACAGAGAACGGTCAATAGCAACAGGTATGCGAATAACAGACCCATATAATATTAACCGATGAGGTAAAGTAACTTTAGACAGAAGCAGAATGTTTCTATTAGCATGAAAATATCAGAGATTTTAGATGCAGGCCAATAAAACCCGATATTGGGTTTTTTGGCTTGTATTGGACTGATATCTGGTCTTAATAGCAGATCGGGGCATCCCTAGATGTAGATTAAATTACTGATTAGACAAAGAACTGATCATTTATTTTTTGGATTGCCTAATAAAACTAAAAATGTCCAGATTTTAGTCACCAGTTTGAATACTCATTGCATCTCTACTTTCACTAAAAAGCCATATCCACCAAGATGAAGACACAGTGGAGAACTGTCCTGGTATCTGTTCCACATAGAGCCTTTCTCTGCATATTTCTGTAATGTTTTTTATATTTATTTTACTATTTATGCTACCATCTAACACCTTTATTCAACATAGTTCATGTTTTGTGTTCGTACACAGGGTCAGGAGAGTGACTCTTCAGAGACCTCTGTCCGTGGTCCTCGCATCAAGCATGTGTGTCGCCGTGCAGCTGTGGCTCTCGGTCGTAATCGGGCCGTGTTCCCTGACGATATGCCCACACTTAGTGCCTTGCCTTGGGAAGAGAGAGAGAAGATCCTATCTTCCATGGGGAATGATGGTGCTGTTTTTCTTTACAACTTCTATTCCAACTTGAAATAGTTAAAAAAAAGAGTTTCTATTGATAATGCTTAAGCCATAAAGTGCCTCCTAATAAATATGAATGGGTTTTATGCTGATTAATTTGTTCTGAGTACAGTTTTTTTTAGAATTTCTAGCATAATTTTTCCATGTAGTCATGGATTTGCATAGGGGCAGAGAAATCCACTCGTCCAAGAAGCAAGAACACGGTGAAGTGTTAGAGGAGTGAGAGGAGTTGGGTTGCTCTGTTCCTGTTATTTTTGACTAGTTTTATGTCATCTTGGGGAATTTGAATTTATGTGAGGTTCTTGGCACCCCAGGAGATTTAGAGTAACCAAAATGGGTACCCACAATTTCTTGGTCATCAGTATTCTTTCATTTGAAAAGCAGTTGGCTTCATTCTCTTAAGTTTTATAGATTTGCTGATCTTTATGTCTGATTTTTTTTTAATCAGATCAACCCCAAACATAAAAGTATGATATCTTACTCTTAATGCTAATGTGTTTATGCTTTATCTAACCCACAGATAAGTCATCAGTAGCAGGCTCAGAGGAGGCAGAGCCCCAGTCTCCTCCCATAAAGCCAAGAGAGACACGACAGAAGGCTGTTCAAGAAGCTCCAATGAAAAAAGGCCGTCGGTCTCGTCGCTGTGGCCAGTGCTCAGGCTGCCAGGTTCCAGAAGACTGCGGCGTCTGCACTAACTGTCTAGACAAGCCCAAGTTTGGAGGCCGAAACATTAAGAAGCAATGCTGCAAGTGAGTCTTAGCGTATGGGTTGATCCATCAAGAACAAGCTAATGGTCCGCCTGTCAGAAAAGCAGACATTTAATCTTTTCTTAATCATGCTGCTCTAAAACACTATGATGTCACATCTGCTCTTAACATAAATGGTTAACCGTTTAGGGAAACAGAGTGTTGTTGAGAAAATTCCTGTTTGAAAGTTAACAAAGTTCTCATCACGGCATTAAAAATGTGAACTCCCTTCTATATTAAACTCAAAGAAATAGTATAGTTTAGTAGTGTTTAGTATTTTTCTATTTTTTAAGAGGTAAAGTGTAACATTTGTTTTTATTTCCTACCTCCAGGATGCGAAAATGCCAGAATTTGCAGTGGATGCCCTCAAAGATGTTCCTCCAAAAGCAAGGTAAAGGCAAAAGGGACAAGAAAAAGAAGTTTCCCGAGAAAAAAGAGGGTATCAATCCGGTAAAGTCCCCCAGTTCGGACTCTGCCTCCAAAGCTCCTCCCGCTCCTTTAAAAGATGATCCTGCTCAGAAAAATAGCGAGACTCCCCCTTTAAAGCCGATAGAGGAGAAGTCCAAACAACAGCCTCTATCCAAGCAGTCGTCTCCAGCCGTCACTTCGTCGCCTGCTCCAGGCGAACAAACTCAGACCCCAGGCGTGGTCTCATCCCAGCCTCAGTCTCCACCGCCGACTCCAGACGCCAAACAGCTTCCAGTTACAAGTGGCACCTCCAGTAAAAAGGGGCACAAACCACACCAGTCTGTTCAAGCTTCTCCCCCTGCATCTTCGTCTTCACCTTCTTCCTCATCCTCGTCCTCATCATCCTCCTCCTCCTCCTCCTCTTCGTCTTCCTCCTCCTCATCATCTTCAGCCCAGAACTCCCCCTCACAGTCCACTCAGTGTCAGCAACTCCCAGAGCAATGGCCAACCCCAAGCCAAGCACCTTCAAAGAAAGATGGTTCACCCAAGATTTCTCTGAGCGAACCCAAGAAAAAATCCCAACAGTGCTCAACACAGCAGCAGAGCTCAGCCATAGCAGGTAAGAGATTGGTGACTTTGTTTTTCTCCTGTAATAAAATTTGCCCTGAGACCCAGAACTGGGCTTAAAACAGGGGCTGTAGTTCTTGATACCACCTTCCTGTGTCTGATTTCCTACCTTTGGAGCATTTTCTGTCAGTCACTACCAACCTCTAGTGCCTAAAGAAATACACGTTTCAATGTACTTGTTCTGCTGTCATATTCTGCTTAAGTCTTTAATCATTGTCCTTGTTCGTTGTAGACTCAAAAACAGCAAAGAAGTCAACCTCCCGCACTATTCCGCCATCTCCAAAACAGAGAACAAAAGACAAGGTAAGCTTTCACAAAGACATTTTATATTCAGAAATGGATATTTATCGTAGATTACAAACAAATTCTTTCTCTCCCTTCTTTCACTTCCACACCAAAAGCCGCTGACGACCAAACCGACCAGCAGCAGTACTTTAAACTCATTGAGCACTCCCTCGACTAGGGACCAGGTGAAGTCCAGAGCTCCCTGCGACGGAGTGCATCGTATCAGAGTGGATTTCAAGAGGGACCATGATGTGGAGAAGGTTTGGGAAGCTGGTGGACTCAGCCTGCTCACCTCTGTGCCCATCACATCCAGGGTACTCTGCTTCCTATGTGCAAGCAGTGGAAATGTTGAGGTAACAAAAAGAGTCACTTTATAGAATTATATCAATACACATTTTACCTTATAACACTTTGTCACATTACATCACAAGTTGATATGCATTTTATTGGGATTGTATATATAGACCTACAAAAAGTAGTGTTTTCATGTGAACTGGAAGTAATAAGGATACATGTCCATATCACTGCACCTGCTTTACTTTGATATAAAGTAAACTTTGAAATATAGAGCTGTCACCGGAGAAACCAATAGAACTGGTTAAATAAATACTTTGCTGTTTTATCTATTAAAAGCCTGGCAAAAAACAAAACTGCACAGCATCCTGATCCCATCATCCCTATGGTAAAACCATGGTGGTGGCAGCATCATGCAGAGCAGGAGGTGGCAGCTGTAATCACAATTAGAATGCTTTGATTTCAGAATTGCTGCAATAAATTGAAGCAAAAGCTTTTCTCAAAGTAAAATTAATAAATAAATAAAAAACGGTATTGCACAGTTTTTTATTGTTCCATTGCATAAAATCCCAATTATTGTTTTTAAAACATTCAAGGTTACTTTTGCAACCAGTTTAAGTAAAAAAAAAAAAAAAGAATGTTTTAAGATTTTTATTTACATTCATTTTCTGTGCATTAATTCTAACCTCTATTGCCCCCCCCCAGTTTGTTTTCTGCCAGGTGTGCTGTGAACCATTCCATCTCTTTTGTCTGGGGGAGTCAGAGCGCCCCCTTCAGGAACAGTTTGAGAACTGGTGCTGCCGACGCTGCCGGTTCTGCCAGGCCTGTGGGCGCCAGCACCAGAAAGCTAAAGTAAGCCTTTTAGTAGAGTCTAAAGCTCAAGACAAAAGCAGACTGAGTAGACTGACAGCGTAGGGAACCTCCTGAAAGGAAAGATGCTCACTAGTCCTGCCAGCACGCTACATTTAATCAGCTTTCTGGCTTCCTGCCATTCTTATATTATTGCACTCACACGCTGTGGAAAATCTGCACAGTGTGAGTTTTGCATGTGTGAACATATTTAATCTAAGCGACTCATTGAAGCCTCTGTATCCATTACCTCTTATCAATGGGTTGGTTTGTTATGAGTCAATCTTTATAAAAGATGAAGGATGTGTGCTGGAAGGTTCAGAACAATTATTTATTTTAAAAGAGATCCTGTCCAAGAACAGAGGTTTTTTCTCAGATCATCTCATACCCTATAGAAAATATATATATATATATATATATATATATATATAGCTAATATGATGATGTTCTGGTAACATTTCCAACATTAGAGAAATGGATCCACATTGTGGATGTATTTAAGACAATGTTTTGTGTGACATGGGAAAACAAAATAAATAGTCCACCAGTATTTCAGGTAACAAAGTATAGGCCTTCACAAGTCTGTTTTATGATTGGAGACAATTTTCAGATTATTAATTCATCATTACATGCAAAAAGCCAGGGAATGTCCATCCAATATTCTGATCAGTAAGAGGGCTGCTTTACCAGAGATAAATGCTGTTCTGGGAATGTCTTAATCCTCAGGGAAATGAGTCCTGTGCCTAAATGGGCTGAAATGCCACTCGGAGAGGAAGAAGCCACTGCTCTAAAGGTTACAGTTAAAAGAGAAGATGTATGTATATATATATATATATATATATATATATATATATATATTTTTTTTTTTTATGGAAGTCATACACTTTGAAACCCTAGTTTACTTCATACTAGGTAAAAAATATGAAATCATCTGAATATGAAGTAAGGTAGGAAGAAAATCTACAAAAAATCTGACTTTTTTGTTATTAGGATGAACTGATGGCCCTAAAGCTAGAAATATAAGGAAAATACATTCCTGTCGCGCTGTCCCGTGAATATTACAGTTTTAAGAAAATTATTGCAGTTTTGTTTAAATAAATTGATCTAAACTTATAATAACAATAATTAAAATATTCAACAATCTCCTAGGATTAGATGTTAAATCAAACAAATTGAAAGTACTGGATAGAATAAACTCAATCGGAAATGCCAGTGAGAAACATTTTTTTCCTGTATGAACAACTTTAAAAAAGAAAAGCTATCAGTGCTAGATTTGTTATTCAAATGTTAATATTTTCCTTTTGTTCTTTTCCACTGTAGCAGCAGCTGCTAGAGTGTGATAAGTGCCGTAACAGCTATCACCCGGAGTGCCTGGGTCCCAACTACCCCAGCAAACCCACCAAGACAAAGAGAGTCTGGGTAATGGATCCACATTTTTCTCTGCGCTCCCACCCCTTACTCGACAAATGTCACACTTTTCCTATCCTCTTTTCCCTCCACCTGTTGGTTCATTTCTTGACTTCTCAAGATTTTTCCACTTCACATCTAGCTGACCCTTCCTAGTTAGTGTCTGTCGAAACATTTTTCCTCTCATCACGGTGCCACTTTCATACTATTCACACTTTTTTATGAAGCGCTTTAGACTTCTTGCTCACATGGGTTTCCCTCTCAGATTTGTACCAAGTGTGTGCGCTGTAAGAGTTGTGGAGCCACGAAACCCGGGAAGTCCTGGGATGCCCAGTGGTCACATGATTTCTCTATGTGCCACGACTGTGCCAAACTATTTTCTAAAGGTAAGAGAAAATCACCTATCAGCACTTCTGCTGTAACAGTGTGGACATTAAAAGAAATCATTAATTTCAGTATCAGATAATGAAGCCTATATATTTCCTGACCTTTCTGTTAAGATGTGTAAAAATCCTTTTACTGCTGTTGCATAAGCTCACCATTAAAATTCTGAAAAATCCCACCTTCAAACTAATTGCACTGGGAAGTAAATACCACATTAAAACGGATATGTTTGTTTACAAAAATCAACATTTCATGCTTAATAGCTTGTATCTTATTGAGATAGAAGAAACTGATAATTATGTTTCTGTCTTTATTAAGCTGCTTACATTGGAACCGAAAGAGATTTGGCTTTTTAACATTGTCATATCCTGAATTAAAAATTAAAACACTGAAAAATAAATCAATGCAAATCTCACACACTGTAAAATCTAACATTGTCACTGAAATAAAATGTGACCATAAAAATCTAATTATGATTCTCTCTTTACACTCCGCTGTTTTGTTTTTTAATTAATGAAAGATAGGGTGGGGTTAAACTGAAGGCTCCTTCAAGGCCTTTGACTTTTATTTGCTTCCTCTCCATCTACATGTAGAAAAATAATACTCGTTTCATACTCCTATAGAGACAGGAGCATGTACCCATAGATTAACTTACAAAGGAAAATCAAATAAATGAAAAAAACTAAAGATGTGGGAATTTTAGACTTTTTCCAAATACTGGGGTGACATCCAAATGTTTATTTTCCTTTTAAATGTCCCTTTATCATAATAAAAAAAAATGCTTACTTTCTTAGCCCAGTTTTGGCTTCTACAAACTGGGGTGGCAGCAGCAAATCATAGAGTGGAAAACAACCCTCTGTTATATATCAATAACTGTATATCCAATGCTGGTGTATTTATGTTATTTATAAAGTAATTGTCATACTCTTCTTTGTTGTTCTGTGAACACACGGCCATCTGGCTGTGTGTTAGGGCAACAAATAAAGATGTAAATAAAGCTCAAAACTTGGTCAAACTGTTAACTCAGCATACATATAGAATGAATTCAAAACTGCTTCCATTTCAAATATATTAAAAAGGTAGATTTAACTCCAAGTCAAACTTATATCTGTTAAAAACTTTTGACTAAACTAGTGAAACTCAAATAATGTAAGATACTATGTATCCAAAGAAAAAGGAATGGAAAAAGGTGTAAAAATAAAAAAAGTATAATAGAATGATGCAATGATATCCCAGTTCTCTGTGGCTTTTATGCTTGAGAATCAAAGTTTATTTTGTCTAGCTTGGAATGTGGTTAAATAAACCTTTAGATAATTTAGAGAAACCTGAATGTACTCAAATTACTTCACGATGCAAGTCAAAGGAGCTAAACAAAACATTTGTATGAGATTTTTTATTTTCTTCCCCTCATTTTCTGTGTGTAATCGACCTAATTCGTGCTCGCTTAACATCAGGCGTACTTGACTCTTTCTGAGCTCATAACTTGATTAACTGTATGTAAATGTACCACACCATCAGCCAACCAAATAACTTTCCTTTCAATCAAAACCGTACATGTAAATACTGTATATACTGCGATGAGGGGGAAAACAACTACTTACAGCAGTATCAAAATACTGCCCCTACAGTAGCGGAGATTACAAAAACCAAATAGTTTTATTTAGATTTAATTTGAAGGTTTTAATGCTGGGTTTGGGAAGGTGTAGGGAGCACTCTAGATGGGATTAAAAAAAATGCTGTCAAAACATATTTTAGCATCTTGTAATCTTTCCTCCAGGGAATCTCTGCCCACTGTGTGATAAGTGCTTTGATGACGATGACTGTGACAACAAGAAGATGGAGTGTAGTCGCTGCAAAAAATGGGTTCACACCAAATGTGAGAATCTTACAGGTAAGTAAAGGGAGATTTTTTATATTAATAAAGCAACATCAGTATCTGGATAGGCAATCCTGATTGGATGCTGATAGACTGTAAACCGTAGGAAAAAGGTTTTAATAATCAGGCATTTTCCCGCCCCCTCAGATGAAACCTTTGTGCTGCTGTCAAAGCTGCCTCAGAGCGTTGCTTACACTTGTATCAAATGCACTGAGCGCCACCCAGCCGAGTGGAGGACAGCGCTAGAAAGGGAGCTTCAGGGCTTCATCCGCAATGTGCTCAATGCACTGCTCAACTCGCGCACATCCACTCACCTGCTACGCTACAGACAGGTGAGACTCACCAAAAACGTGGCCTTTGGACGAGGGAATCTGGATATATATTAAGAGAGCTGTAGAATGAGCTGTTTGAAATTTTTGGTGAATGTTGCTTTTATTATGCGACAGGCGGTAAAGCCTCCAGAGCTAAATCCAGAAACAGAGGAGAGTCTTCCATCCCGACGTTCCCCCGAGGGCCCAGATCCTCCCGTCCTTACAGAGGTTCCCCCGACACCTCCCAGTGACTCCCCTCCAGACCTGGAGTCTGTTGAGAAGAAGATGGATCAGGGCTGTTATAAATCTTTGGTAAGTTTTTCATCTCTGTATTTGATACACTGCGGATTTTGCAGGTTTTCATACTTACAAATCACGTAGAACTCTTTCCTTTTTATCATAGGTAATTCTCAACTGTAAGTGATGGAATCTAAAACTAAAATCAAGGAAACCCGAATTGAATGATTTTTTTTTAAGTAATTCATTAGTTGGAAAAAGAGACCTATATTTGCAACTTCAGATATCAGATGTTACCTGTGGGGCTTGATAAGGTTTGTTCACTGCTGCAGGGATTTTGGTCAGCTCCCTCACATAGATCTTTTCTAGATCTTTCAGGTTCTGTTAAAGATTTTCAATTGGGTTCAGCTCTGGAGACATGCTAGACCACCCCAGGACCTCAGCTGTTAGCTTCAGGCCATGATCCATCATTAATACTTAATACTGAGTGAGATCTTCTAAAACGTAGCCTCATCCAACCCTCCCTCAATATGGTGCAGTCATTCTGTCCTCTTTGCAGAATATAATCCCCTAAGAATTATTTTTTTTTGCCTTTAAAAGCACATTTTGGGGATGATGATCCCCGTATCTGAATGCTTGATGGTTAAAAAGAAGAGAGAAGAGAGTTTTATAAAGTACTTCTGGGAAGATATCTACGAATAAGTAGTTACCTCCATCATCACTGGCCCAACCTTCAGATTAAAAGAAGATCACATTTTGATCTGCTCATTAGATCTTTGTGCGATCATCAGAGATGATTCACTTTACATTCATACTGAGCTTGTGTTTTTATCCTCCGTCTCCCAGGTGGAGTTCAGTGATGACATTGTGAGAATCATTCAGTCGGCCATCAACAGCGATGGAGGCCAGCCTGAAAGCAGAAGAGCAAACTGTATGCTCAAGTCGTTCTTTATTCGGGTAAGAATCCTAAACTAACTTAAGTTTGGCAGCACTGACACAGCCTCTGCAAATTTAAAGTTAACTGACATCTAAAACTTTGTTTGAAAACTATTTCCCTCATGTTCTAAAAAGGGTCATCATTTAGTTGTCCAGCTTAAGTGTTGTGATCTCTGAAGACGTTGGCCCCAGCAGATATGTCTGTACTGACAGCTAAACCTCACTGAATGTTTTCCCCTTTCAGCAAATGGATCGAATCTTCCCATGGTTCAAAGTGAAAGAATCCAGGTTCTGGGAAAGGCAAAAAGTCTCTGCCAAGTGAGTTTCTATCCCAACTTAACAAACATAGTGATTAAACACTGTTTGGTATTTGTCCTGTCCTGCTAACTACTATATAAACTGTCATTTGTCTTCGAGGTTAAATAGGAACATGTCGTGCTAAGCTAAAACAGGAAGCACCGAAATTAAATCAGGGAAAACATTCTTTCATAATGAGACAAATGAAATCTTATACTAATAGGAATAAAGTCTGGAAGTCTGTATTTTGAGCTAAGGCCCCTGGCATCCTATGCTTTCCGTCTCTGTGGTATTAACAAATGTGTGATGCGCTATCATTTCTTAAAGTTCTTCTCCAAGTTAGGTCTGTAATTACAGAGGCAGAAGGTTTGACAAGTAATACAGCTGGAATTTGAGCCCTTCAGAATTTCGAAGAAGCTCTGCTCTGTAGTTATTAAAATAATGAGCAACATATGTTTTTGTTGTTTTCTTAAAGCTGAATCATCTTAATACTGGAGTGGTCCACTTTTATTACTTAAAGCTCATAGGGACTTTTGTAGCAACTCATAATTGTGCCATGTTGGGATATCCAATATTAATTTGTTTTTTTTTAAAACATTCCTCCTGACAGTTCTTAAATGTTTCATATATATCTTAGTTTAATATGTTTTGGACTCATGGTCCAATAGATATATAAAATAAGAATAAAACAATACAAGTAAAGAAGACAAAACAGAAAACACCAATTATTGATTAGATATGAGCATAGGGGGAGACAGGAATGGGCATCATATCACACTACGCGTGATGTTGGTAAGTGAGAACATAATATCATTGCCAGTAGCATTTATCCTTCAGATAAAACTATACATAAATTTTCGTAAAACAACATGTAATGTATTGACTCACAATAGTCAATCGTGGCCATTTCAAAAGTATCCACAATGCATCATTACAGGCCACCTGTTTCCTTTGCAGGCTGTTTTTTATTTATTTATATGTAGACCACAGGTAAGCAGTATACAGAGAGGTACAATATGCATTAGATAGTTCCACTTTTACTACATCAGTACATGCACCATATTTATCAGCAAGGGTATTAGCTTGAGCATGCAACATTCTACTTTGTCTACAGATATCATCATTGTCCGACAGATTTTCTGTGATGATGTGCCGCAATAATAAACAAATGACCTTTTTTGTTGCTGTTCAGCTAGGATTTTTCTTGATTATTTTATTTACCCAGCCTTTCTTGCTCACCTACCCTTCCAGCCTGTCAGACTTTTAAGTTGTCAGCTTTCCTGCACCTTTTCATCTTCTCTGGCTCTTCTAAGGCATTTCTTTTGATGGCCTTTTTTGCTTTGTTTACTCGTTGGCTTCGACTGTTGATTTATGTATTATTTCAGCCGTGCTATACACTCCAGCAAGTATATCGTGGGGCTGTTATTAGGTGGTATCGTTTCTTGGCTGGAAAGAAGTCAGCTTAGCAGAAACATATCTAAAGAAACATTTTTCTCTAGATTTATTTATATACAGATTTTAGCGTCATCAGGCTGCTGTTCTGTGGAAAAACAAAACGTTTACACTTAGTAAATGCAGCGATAGCTTAGAGCAGGGGTGCCCAACCAGTCGATCGCGGCCTACCAGTTGATTGTGGGCGGAGTTTCAGTCGATCGCAAGAAGTTTTACAATGTAGACCTATTTATGGCTATGACCAAAAAAAAGTTTTAAAAAACACTAATCAAATAATTGATCACGAGTGGCCAATGTGTATTTTCATAGTGATAAAATTAAAAATAAAAAGTATGCAGGGAACCTTTTTTTATGCATGCTGATTGCTGGGCATGGTTTGCCACGGTTGCTAGGTTGTTACTAGGGACTCTAAAGCGCGAAGAGGAATCTGCAGAGATAATGACATCTATCACAACTGATGGGGCTACATCTATGGTTGGTCGCACTGCTGGATTCGTTGCTCTGTTCAAGCTGTCTGAAACCTTCCCTGATTTTTTTTGGCGACCACTGCATCATTCATCAACAACAGCTGTGCGGCAGTATTTTAAATATGAAGCATGTCATGGACGTTGGGATAAAAATCGCTTGCTCTGTTACATAGAGGTTACATAAAAGCATCAATAATTTTCTTCCTTTTTGAATCTGTTACGCCTAGATGGTCTTTTTTTTTTATTTATTTTTTTTTTTTTTAATACTTTTTAACGCCTCTCCTTTTTTTTTTTTTACTTTTCTCATTGTTGGGGCAATATATCCCCTTCATATGCAAACTTGTTTTCTATGCTCTGATTTGTCAGAGCTTTTAGCAGCAAGTTTTTTGAATCACTACCCAGCCTTCGTTTACTTAGAAGGCTCCTTCATACTTAAATATTTTTAACTAATTTTATATTCAAAGCTCATCTTTGCTCTTAGTTGGACATTTTAACTATTAAAGCTCCAGCTATACAGCACTGTAAGCAATATGTGTCACACAAAGTTGTTTCTGTGTGGTCTTGTTCACCAGCAGCGGGCTTCTTCCCAACGCTGTCCTTCCTCCATCCCTGGACCACAACTACGCGCAGTGGCAAGAGAGACAGGAGCTTAGCCGTGCCGTTCATCCCTTTTTCATGAAAAAGATCATCCCAGCTCCACAGCCCAAGAATTTAGGGGAACTCGATTTGCCAGCGTCACCTCCTCCACTACCTCCACCACCTAAACTTCTGAAAGGTAAGTCAAACAGCACGCTAAAGTATTCCAATGAGGCTGTTTTTTTTATTACATTCCTTCTGATTTTGGCTTGATTTTCTCCTCAGACCATGAGGACACCCCTGAGCCGCCACCTCCTCCCTCAGGTCTCACTGATACCAGGCAATGTGTTCTGTGCCTCCATTATGGAGATGAGAACACCAATGTAAGTCGCGAATAATCTTAATGCTCCGTTCAACATCAAAAGGGCTGAGTCTTCACCTGCAGACGTTGCTTTCTGTTCTAGGACTGCGGCAGGCTGCTTTATATCGGTCAGAATGAGTGGGCCCACGTGAGCTGCGCTCTTTGGTCTGCGGAGGTGTTTGAAGACGACAACGACGCTTTAAAAAATGTTCACATGGCTGTTTACAGGGGAAGGCGAACGGTGAGACACTTTGCTCTTCGCTAATCGCTTGTATTCTGCAGACGTCAATAACTTGCTCTACTTTTTGTTCAGAACTGTGAGAGGTGTGAAAAGACCGGGGCCACTGTGGGCTGCTGCCTCACCTCCTGCACCAGTAACTACCACTTCATGTGTGCCCGCCAGAGCCACTGCGTGTTCCTGGAAGACAGGAAGGTCTACTGTCCAAAGCACAGGGATCTCAGTAAAGGAGAGGTATGGACTGTACCCTGGATAGTTACAGATATCCCTGAAAACCTTTGAACATTTTCTTACATTTAGGGATGAAACAGTTAATTGGAATCTGTGTATACAAAATGATAGTAAAAGCTACCTAAGTCTAAAAAAACCTTTTTTGTTTGTCAATATGCTCTTTGCAGAACTCCTTAAGTGGAAACATTTTAGTTTCACCTGGTCTAATTTAGTAAAAAATCTTCTTTAAGGAACCCTTTCTATCTGATAACTCATCGAAAAAATAATCGATAGATTAATCGAGTTGCAAAATAATCGTTAGTTGTAGCCCTACTTACATTACAACCCGAAAAATCTGTGTATTTTATCAGGATTTTAAGTGGTGGTAGAACACTAGGCGGCACATCGTTGTGAGCAGTGTTGGGATTAATGGCATTAGTTACTTTTCAGTAACATTGGAATCTAACTAAATACACTTAGCATCTTTGTAATGCTATTAGGTCACTTGCAATTTAACACGGCAGGCTGCTACATCTCATTCAGCTAAAGCTACTTTTCATAAGAGCTCCTGTCTCTGCTGTGGGGAGAGGACACGTCAGTGCAGAGCAGGATAGAGGAATATGTGACACCGACTCGCTGAGAGAAAGTATTGTGGGCGGCTGTTTGGGATGCAGTGATTGCTCAGAGAGGAGATGTGAGGCTGCAGATTTATTAATAATGTTCTTATACTGGAAGCTCTGACTGAAGGAAAAGACTAAACCCAGACCCTGGAATTCGTTCACTATGTCCTGGAACATACAGCTTTTTAATCTAATAAAGCGTCATACATTGTCTTAATGCAAACAACTAGCTGCCTTATGCTGCGTTCACACTGAACACGATTTGCATGTAAGCCTGCTGTTCGTGCGGTTCAAAGTCTAGGGCTGAAGCACATCAAGGAGCATTAAGAGGTTCCGCAGGGCATTTCGAGAAGCTAGAGCAGTGCCTCATGAACATTTAAGCGACCTCAGGCATCAGCTGCTGATGCCTGAGGTCGAAAACATGAACTGTTGCCCCAACAACCAATCAGAGAGAGGCTTGCTATGTGTTGGTGTTGTTAGGATATGAGGGCACCGATGGAGGGGGCTGCAGGAAGTCAAATAAAACAGAACTCATTCATGTAACAATGAAAATCTTGAAGGAACAGGTTCAAAAAGAAGTGCTCCAGCTACATGCTGCAGACTTGCAATGTGGACAAGCATCACAGACTAAATCACGTTTCTTGTGAACGCAGCATTAGTTTATCACTGGTCTTTACTTTAGTGTAACACTGAATCCACATATTCTGACTTAACTTGAGCTGTTAAGAGACCTTTCCAAAACACATGGAGCTGTAATTTAATCGAATGGTGTCCCTACATCTCACCTCTTCTGTGTGTGTACTTTTTTCTAAGGTGGTGACAGGGTTTGAGGTGACACGCAGGATCCTGGTTGACTTTGAAGGAATCAGTCTCAGGAGGAAGTGGCTGGCAGGGTTGGAGCCTGAAAATGTCCACATGATAATAGGTGACGAACAGCAGCTAAACATTGATTTTAAAAATTAAACAATATCAACTCCAGAGTGTGTTTAACACTGACTCAAACATCATCACTGCAGGTTCCATGACGGTTGACTGTTTGGGAATACTGACTGAACTCTCAGACTGCAAACGTAAGCTCTTCCCAGTTGGATACCAGTAAGTGAATCTTTTTTTTTTTTCTATCTTTCAGCTCATTATTATCAGAGACGGACAGAAATGAACTGAAAAGAAAACTGATATTACCTCATTTATTATATTTCCTTAGGTGTTCAAGGGTATACTGGAGCACTCTAGATGCTCGAAAGCGTTGTGTGTACACCTGCAGGATATTAGTTTGTCACCCCCCAGTGGCAGAGTCTGAGATGAAGAGTGTGTTGGGTCCAGAGGAGAATCGCACAATTGCGCACAGCCCTCCTCCTATAACAGGTAAAAACGTACTTTATCTGTACAGGAATCCTGTGCATTCCAAACTGTTTTGATTAATTGTTAATGGCAAATATAAGCACAGTTAAATACCAAGTTAATACCAAGCCATTAACATGGTATTTAAAAATGTTTAAATTGCTTTCGTTGCAACATAAACTGGTAGAAATTAAGGCTGAAACAATTAATTGGATTAATTGATTATTGAAATAATCCTCAACTAATTTAATAATCAATTAATCATTACCTGGAGTATAGAGACTCTAAAACATGCCTTTAGCTGATAGAGTCATTATGCTTTATCCAGAAGTCCTCAAGTGGCAAAGTTTTATATTTACTTTATTTAATTCTGTAAAAAATCTTCTTTAAGGAACCTTTTTGGTGTCCGATTATTAATCAGTTAATCAAAAACAAAATAATCAACAGATTAATTGATTAGCAAAATAATCCTTGCTCTTCCTCGGTATGTTCAGATGCATGGAAGTTTACAGTGTGTACGGTTCACACTTAGATTACTTGCTTTGATATCTTTTTTTTTTATAACATTCCTAAATGTTTTTGTGAGTAATGAGCTTGAAGAGCAAGGAGGCCTGTTTATATATCATAATGCAAGTTACCTACCACATGTGCTCAATGGAAGAAGACTTACAACTTTATTATATTTTGCATTATATGAATGTGGGTAATCAAAAACAATCATTAAAGGGCAGAGAGAGTCCCTGAGACTCGTAAGTGCAAAACTTACAGAACCTTTCTATTATTTCCATTTCCATATCAATGCCCATGACTTTAAGTTGGTATTTCCTTTTCTTCTACAATGTGTACATTCTGATCACTGCTGCACTTTATAAATGGTAATGCTCATTCACTGTTGAAAAACTGTATGCATCGCAATGTTGGTTTGTATTCACTCTGTGTATACAAAATGGCAATAAAGTTTGTCTAAGTAAAGTTAATGCTAGTATTTGAATTTTTTGTGTTTTATTTATTTTTTCTTTCACAGATTTCCCTGATCCATTTGAGTCACCGAGACGCTCTGAAAACCTCTCTCCGGCTAATACCCCAAAGCTCAGGGTTTACACCAGAAACCGACATCCCAGCTACCCCCCATGTCAGCGCTCCATAGACCCCAAGCACGTGACTTCTCCAGGTACAAACATGCATATTGTGTTATGTTTGGAACATAGCTATAAATAGTTTGGAGAGTCTTGTTTAATTCATTTCCTTTCTTTCATTTTAGAGAGAACTTTGCTGCCCCAAAGCCAGGCTGTTGGAGATTCACTGGAGAACCAGAGCGTTCGCCACATTGACTCCCGACGTCACAGCTCCCCTTCCCTTTCTCCTCCCCCCCACCAGCTGAGTAGACAGAGAGGTGTGACCACCCCACCGCAGACTTTGTCACGACCCCTCACCTCACCTCCTCCTCTCATCCCCTCCCCAGCCAGAGACCCAGAGAAATCCAAACACCTCATCAAAGACTCAAAGAAGAATCCAGTCCAAAGAGATGGGGATAGAGGTAGATCCTTTTCCACAGACGGAAACAGGCTGCAAGCAGCGAGAGAGCAAAGTCTGAGAGATGCAGACAAGGGAAGGACGACAAATCGAGACCAAGGACCCAAGGAGTTGCATAAAAGCAGATCGCCCAGAGAACTTTTGCCAAGAGACGTTGACAAGGGTGACATTTCAGCCAAAGAGTCAGAAAAGAGAAAAGTCTTAGGCACAGATTCGGGTCTGAAAGAATCTGATGCTCCAAGACCACAAAGCAGAGACTCCTCAAGAGATTCTGAAAAGGGGAAACTTACAAATAGAGACTTGGGTAATAAAGAAACAGATAAGAGTAAGACATCTTTCAAAAACCCTAACTCCAAGGGTTCAGATAGATCTAAGTCTCTTAACAGAGATATGGGGCAAAGGAACTCTGAGAAACACAGACAGCACAGCAGGGAAGCAGGAAAAGACCTGGGTCAAGGTAAAGATAGATCATCAGGCAGGGATTCTGACAAGGTTAGACCTTCCTCTAAGGACTCCAGTTATAAAGGTGCAGAGCGAAACAGAGATTCTAGCTCAGGGAAAGACAGCAATGCTAGTCAATCCAAGCGGACTGGCAGTGAGAGCAAGAGTCCAAAATTGGCTCCTGTGGGCTTAGGACAATCTTCTCCTCCGGTGGGAACTGCTGTTCTCTCAGGTCAGCAGAGGAGTGGAGGCACCAAACAGGTTGAAAAGCAGACGAAGCATGGAAGCAAAGACCAAGATGGTCTAAGCTTGTTGTCTCGCCACCGGCCCGTTGCACCCTCCAACATCCTCCCATCAAAGGAAAAGCCCAGCTCAGGGAAGGAGGGTAGCAGCGCCACTGGAAATATCACACCGTCTTCACTCCACAAGGAATCTATCGCAGGAAAATCCGGCTCCCCACAGAAATCCAGTACACTGAAATCAAACGATTACTCTCCAGGTCCAGCAGGAAAGTCTCTGTTATCATCACGGACATCGATGGAAGATGATGTTGGTAAACGGAACTCGAACCTGACCTCCCTAGGTGCTGCTTCAGCTGCCAAAGACAAACACCCCAAAGTCAAATCAACAGGCAGCAGAGATGCATCCAAAGATCGAGACAGAGAAAAGACCCATCAGAACAGCAGCAACAACAAAGCTCCGCTTCTCAACAACAACGCCAAAACCACAGGTGGCTCCAACATGCACGCTACAAACTCCTGCTCTTACAACAGCAAAGTTCCAGCGCTTGGAAACAGCACCAAAGCCCAGGGGCAGCCTCAGGGGGAGAAGCAGCAGAACCACGGAGAGGGCAGGTTGTCTGCAAAGAGCAGAGAAAATTTTCCTGGTGTAGAAAAGAAGTACAGCAGCACTCCAGAAAGCTTCCAGCAGATAAGTTTAGAGAGAGGTGAGGTGAGCTCCACTCAGCCTTACACCAAACAGATAACCAATCAGCTGTCGGCGACCTCCAGAGAAAAGAAGAAACCTGTTAAACTCTATTCTCACACTCCACTCAAGGCCGATTTAAAGACTGACCCCAATGGGAGGCAATCTTCCTGTCCCACAAGCACCTCTTCCACCAACTCCCCTGCTGGACAGGGGACCCATCGCTCTCCCCCCTCCCCTCTGTTCTCCTCACCTTCTGCCAGCAGCAGCGACAGCTCCGAGTCTGACACCCAGACTCAGACAGAAGAAGACGAGATGCGTAAAAAACGTCCACGCCACAGGCTGAGAGACCACCACAGCCTACTCTCTCAGTGCACTGAGGAGGACGATGGGGAAGGCCCAGAGGACGACCATGACAGAACCATGGAGGATAAGCACCATGAAGATGACAGCGATGGTTCAGGCTCAGCCAAGAGGCGTTACCCACGGCGCAGCGCTCGTGCACGTTCCAACATGTTCTTTGGACTCACCCCATTTTACGGCGTTCGCTCGTACGGCGAGGAGGACATTCCTTTTTATGGCAGCGGCGACGGAGCAGGAGCTGTGGTTAAGAGAAGGACTGGCCGACGGAAGAAGTCAGCTGAGGGGCAGGTGGATGGAGCAGATGATATGAGCACCTCATCTTCATCTGCAGACAGTGGAGAAGATGAGGATGGTGGAATGAAGAACAGGGGTAAAGACTCCTACTACTACAACTTCACTCGGACAATAATCAACCCCGGTCATGGCCTCCCGTCTATAGAGGGCTTGGACGACTGTTTGGGAAGAGGATCCCAACTTCAGCGCTTTCTAAAAGATGAGGAACAGCAACAGCAAAGGGCTCAGGAGAAAACGGAAGAGGACATGCTGAGTACTCTGTTAGTAAACTTTTCTTTTTTGTAAATGTTCATTTAGTTCATGTTTTTAATAGAGAAGCACCAATCAGAAATTTTGTTGAGATTTTTAGAATTTCTGATAGTTTTAATGTTGATACCAATCATAACTGATCCTGATTTGTTTTTACACTTTTAGCCCCAGGGGGAACCTTTTAAGAAACCTTGTCATAGTTACTCAACATCAACAGTGATAACTGATGCATTAATGACAAAGGGTATAGAAATGTATCATATCAGATTTAACAGTATATTCTAGGCTACGAGCCAGCACAAACCTTTTAAAATGTGCAAAACACAGCTAAAGTTATACCCAGATAAAATAAAAGATGTAAAACGTAAATACACAGCACAATAGCAACCTATGAACAAGAGTTGTGTCTCTACAGCCACAACCCCGCACCAAACCAGCACAAAATACACACCAAATAAGAGCAGAGACTCTTTAAAACCGAGTCATGTCCTTCACTTTCCTCTTAACCAAAGCATACAAGATACAACCTAATAAACGGCAACAGATGAAACGCTTTGCCATATTCTAGTTCAAAAACATCTCCTACCTCTTTATTAAAAAACAAACAAAAATAAACATCATTTTACTCTCTGGATAATATCCTAAACTTTATTTAAGTTGGATGTGAGCAAGGAGGTCTGATAAGACAACTACTATGAGTTGGATATTGATGAAATTCATTATTAAAAGAAAAAGATTATTTCACAAACGCTAAAAGCTCAGAAGGATAAAACCAGTCAACTTCCTTGTACTTCATTAAACCTTCCTGTTATCTTCTAAAAGTCTGGCTCTCTTTTTCTCAATGACCAAACTGTCTAGACAAGCCATTCAAAATCCCGATTTCTATTTAATAACATTTTTCAGTGATTTTGTGATTTGAGGAAATATTACAAGTCTCCAACTGGCTAATCACCAGTCAGGACTTGCAATCCAAAAATGGTCTGATCTTTCTCTGTGGTGTTTTCTTTACTTGTTATATGGCTCTCATGTTATGTTTCTTGTACCTATCAGGACCTTGGGCAAACAGCAAATCGGTCAGCTTGACGGCGTTGATGATGGTTCTGAGAGCGACACGAGTGTCTGCACCACCAGCACCACCACCACTACAGCTACCACTTCCTCCACACCGCAGAAAAACACCCCCAAGAGGAGAGGCAGAGAAAGACACGTCGACAAAACTGACCACCATGAATCGAGCAAAGAGGCTGAAAACAGCAGTGGCGGATCAGGGAGCACACGAGAAAGCAGAAAGAACCAGAAGGAAAACTGTCTTCCCCTTAGTGGTGGCGTCAAAGCCCAACCACAGAACCAGGGTCAGGATCCGCTTGAGGCCCAGCTCTCCCTCAGCACAGACCTGCTCAAATCTGACTCTGACAACAACAACAGCGATGAATGTGGTAACATTTTGCCTTCAGATATCATGGAGTTTGTATTAAACACGCCATCCATGTCGCTGCCAACTCTGGGTCAACAATCCGAGCCGTCGTCCTCTGAGCTGCTGCTGGACGAGTCCTATGACCTAAATAGGCGCAAGGACATTCTGTTTGATGATTTCTCTCAACCCCTGCCTAGCGCAGAAAGCGGAGGGGTGGTGGAGGCCAGTGTTAACAGCTCCATATCAGTTGAAGAACCATATCTTCCTCTAGAGCTACCCTCAGACCTCTCAGTTCTGACGACGCGCAGCCCGTCTGTCAGCTCCAGCCAGAATCATTCAGCAAGTGGCCTCATCTCGAATACCTCAGACAGCACAATGCTTGGTTTGAACTCTGACCCAGAAAATATCAGCGGTGAAAAGAACGGTGATAAGAAAGTTCCGGGTCCCAGTGTGTCACCGTCCGACAATAAGCATGACGGACCTGCTTTGGGAAACAGAGAGGCGCAGGCTGCAGAGGGCCAAATGACTTCAGACCAGTTTATTTCCAGCCCTGCTATTGGTCAGGGGGTTGAAACGTCTGCCAGCCAGGATGCAAGCAGAAGTTCTGTCTCTTCTGGTTTGCCAAGTTCTCCCTCTTTGCCTCTTCAGGGTCAGAAATACCTAGCCACAGCTGCTGCAGGCAGTCCCAGTCCAGTCCCTGGTCCAGGACCTTCCCAGGCTCAGGTTTCCAGCCCAGCAGTGATCAAACCAGGCCCTGATAAGCTCATTGTGGTCAATCAGCAGTTCCAGCCTCTCTACCTGGTTCAGACGGTGCCAAACGGCGTCACCCAGAAAATCAGTGCAGCAGGAGTGATGGAAGCTACCTCGTCTGCCGTGCTGAGCCCCATGACGATCACCAGAGGCTTAAATAGTGGCTTATCTCCTGCCCAGCCAATTTTCCCAGCTGGTGGAAAAGTCCTGGGCACCATACCTCACCCCTCTCAGATTCACACTTTCCCCGGATCCACACAGGCAGGCTTCCAGACGGGAATACCCAGCACCACCTCAGGACTGCTCATCGGTCTGCCCTCTCAGCCGTCAGACCAATCCCCTATTTTGGTCTCAGAGGCTGGTCGACCTCATGAGCTCGGTCCCAACGTCGCCATAGTCTCCAGTCATTCCTCCCTGACTTCCTCCCCTCCTGTCCTTGCGTCCTCTCATGGCAAGAAGAGGCCCATCTCTCGTCTGCCAAGAAAAAACAAGAAACCAGCTCGCTGCCGCAGCCAGCCGGCTCTGGCTCCGTCAGAAGTGGGCCCTCCTAATATGACTCTGATCAACCTGTCTTCCCAGCAGATCACTGCCAGCATCCCTGGACAAGCTGGCGGCCTGGTTGAGCTAAGCACCATCTCTACATCTCACCGCAAAGTCCCAAATATCATCAAGAGGCCAAAGTCCGGTGGCGTCATGTACTTGGATCCCACTGCTCTCATACAGCAGAGAATTCCAGGTCCTGCTCAGACCGGCATCCTTAGCCACGATTCCTCCACTCACATCCTACCATGCTCAGTCGCTGGTCTCAGTCCCAGCCAGTCGGTGTTGAATGTGGTCTCCGTCCCACCTAGCGGCTCTGCTGGGCTTATTGCACCAGGCTCGGTGTCTTTCTCCACCCCTGTACTCAGCTTTAAAGCAAATCCACATGGTTTGGGACTTTCGGATCAGCCCATGGTCCTTCAGCCAGCGGGGGGAGCTCCTCTCGTGTCACAACTCGCCTCCCCTGTTCAGACCTCTATTGCCAGCAGCATCTGTGTTCTACCGACAAGTATGGCTGTCAACCAGCACGGAGAAACAGAAGGTGGTAACGTCCACCTGCAGCATCAGTCTCAACCTGTGAGCAGAGCGCCGAGCGCGGATTCCAGTCAGAACCTTAACAGCCCATCAGCTCATTTGAGCCCCAACAAGGGACACGTTGTTGGAGTTTTCACACAGAAACAGTCCTCTTTGCATTCCCAGAGTAACAGAACAAATCCTGCTCCCAAAGTGTCTGACCATAAACCAACAAACACAACAACAGCAGCTTCAGACACAGCTTCAGGTGCGGATAAAAGCAAAAAGAAAGTAAAGAGGGGCAGACAGAGTCCAGACATCAGCAGTGGGAAGAAGCTCAAGGCCTCGCAGGCAAATGAATGTCACAGCAACCCTGGGAAACAGCTGCCATCTTCAAACCCAAGGTGAGCCATTCCTCATTGTCATCTTATATACAATGCCTTGATCTTTGTCACATGTGGTAGACTAACGGCCAGTTTATGCTTCTGAGGCATAGCCTCTGCAACCGTCAAATCTCTCTCTGTGCGCGACAAAAAGCAGCTGTGATCGGTCCTTGGTATGCCTCTCTGGCTGTCTGTGTGGTCGCCCTGTTCGATTCGGTTCCCGGGCACGACATTTTTAAAAACCAAGGAAGAACTACAGTGGACAAATACGACAAAAGGTTAATCTGTCTTTTTGCCAACTCCATTAACAGAACCTGTTCCTCTTCCATGTCTAGCAACTCTAGATGCATCTCTGTGACCGTGATATCTTGCAGACACGCTATTGTTGTTTTGGAAGATAAACCGGTGCCACCGAAGTTCTCGTGACCATCCGCTGAAGTTGTCGCGAGTTCTCAAATAGGCTCCCCCTTGCGCTTTGGCAGGAAACTGCTGTGCGTCCCTAGAAATTCCATATCGACGGTGCTGAAGTATACCAGCAAAACTGGTTCGTGACCAGACCCAATCAACATTTGATGTGTGCGGTTGCAGAAGTATAATCTGCCCTTAACACCAAGTAGCATGTGATTGTGATATTTAAGGAAAATTATGGAATATATTTACCCCTTTAATAAGAGTCACGTAAATCCACTTCAAAAGTCAATGAAATAGTTGATAGTGGTCCTTTATTTGTGTAATTTAATGTTTATATAAATGCAGCTGCTCTCTAAAAGCCAGAGATTCACATTAATCAGAGAAACAGCCAAAGAGGCCCATGGTTACTTTGGAAGAGCTGGGGGCAGAGCCACAGCTCAGGTGGGAGTCGTGTACTTAGGGCTGTTGCGGTTGAGGAATTCCCCCTGCGATTATTCAAGGACGCTAAATATAATTTTTTCTAATCTATTTCGCAAATCTGTTTGTATATTGTTAAATTACCATCTACATGGCAACATTTCCTTTGAAACATGGCGCTTAAACATTAAAAAAAGGTTATAAAAAAAGACATGGCAATTTTATAAAGTTTATTGAATGCAGATCAAAGGGCAGTGATGGCACAGATATGCCTCATTTCTCCGAGTGAACTTAACAAAATTCAGAATAAGGCTGAACTTTTAAAGGCAATTTTTTTTTAAACCAGCATCTTTAATTAAAAAAGAAAAACAGGTGCATTTAAGTGCACCTCTACAAAATTAAATGTAACAGGCGCCATGATTCTTAATTCACACACAAACAAACAAGACGGTGATTTAAAGCTCAGCTATGTCCTTGTTGCGGGCAAGTAAAACCATGTTAACCTTATGCAGTTTGAGAGGATCTGAGAGGGGTGACAACATTTCCAGCGACACTGAAAACCCTCTTGGACGATGCGCTCATTAGAGGAGCGACCAGAATGCAGGTTTCTCCTCAGTGGAAAATGGCACCATCTCTTCAACCTGGTACTGTGTAACAGCGGTTGTGAGACGTTTATATCTGTCACTTAGCGACTCCAGCAAAGGCTTTGCCGACTCCAAAATGTTGGCTGGCACCGACATGAGCCGACCCACGACTCTGTGTGGCAGGAGGCGGCGGTAGCCGCGCCGTAACAGCTGGATGGCAGCTAGCTTTAAATTATCAGGCTCCCCCTTTTCATTTGGCTGTAAACTGAAATGCTCCCAAAGGGGCGAAGTAACATTTGGTTTTGATATGAGTGCAGCTGCCATTGTATCCTTCTCAACTGTTGTCCCAAGATGCGGTAATGGCGGTGGCTGGTTTTGTAGCGCGGTGAGCTTCTTGATATTGCGATATTTAATTTGTGAGGTTATCGTGACAGCCCTACGTGTACTCCACAATTCTGACCTTTATGGATGTTTGGTGAGAGGCCATCCTTTGAAAGAGAGCTGTAGAAAGTCCCATGCAGAAGGGTGTGAATACTTATTTAAGGTGCTCCGCTTTTATTATTATGACAGATTGAAGTAAGAAAATAATTAAATGAAGTTTTTTAAACCTTTGCTTTAGAGAGCTGGACTCTCCCGAACCGATGGACACTGGCAGGCCTCAGGAGAAGGCCACCAATAAGAAGTGAGTGTAGTTCCTCATTTTAGATTGTAAAGTAAATACTACATACAGTCTAACACCTTATTTTTCTATTTTCAGCCTGTTTGGGAAGAAGAAGACACCTGAAGGACATGCCGTACCAGGAAAAAAGGTGGAAAAAGACAAACCCCCTGCAGCTGGAGAAGCTGGTTCCTTTCCAGCGGCTTCACCACCCGATGAGGACGGCAACAGCACAGACTCTGGCTTGGATGGCAAACCCAAAAGAGGCATCATTTTTGAAATCTACAGCGAGGAAGGCTTCCACATTCGCTGTGAAAGTATTGAAGGTCAGCCAAGGGAGCCCATCCTTTCTTTGGGTGTCATGTTTGCCATTTTGCTTTGACAAATGTAGATTTCACAATTGTTTCTACAGAAGCCTGGAAGTCTGTGACAGAAAAGGTGAAGGAGGCTCGCTCCAATGCACAACTTAAAGAGCTTTCTTTTGAAGGTAACTGAGGATGCTGGCAACACAAAACTCATATATTGCCCTAGAAAACACACCTCCTCACTCACGTGAAGGCTGCTGTTTTACTGTGAGGGTCTTTTCTGTTCTACTCTCAGGTGTGAACGGACTCAGGATGCTCGGCGTCGTCCATGAGGCTGTGGTCTTCCTGCTGGAGCAGCTTTATGGATCCAGACACTGCCGAAGCTACCGGTTCCGCTTCCACAAGCCAGAGGAAACCGATGAACCTCCTCTCAACCCCCACGGCTCAGCTCGCGCAGAAGTCCACCACAGGTTAGAACAGGGACTGATATGCAACATTCACTTTACAAAATGTTTGGGTGGGAAAAGCAATCCACACAGAAATGCACAGAAATTGCCTTTCTGCAGACTATTGCAGTTAACTGTAAGATATGCATTATGCCATGCATGTGGTCTTTATGCTACTGTTTCAAACACTGTGTCCCTCCTCACCCACCAGGAGGTCTGTATTCGACATGTTCAACTTCTTGGCCTCTAAACATCGCCAGCCCCCTGAGTACTGTCCTCAGGAGGAAGATGAAGAGGAAGGGCAGCTCAGGACTGCCAGGTAAGCCCCTGTTTAGCTCTCAGTGATATAACGCTGCAATGGACAAGAATACTAACTTAACATTTGTTTCTCATGCTGCCCCTTCAGGCGGCCCTCCATGGAGCTGCCACTTACTGCGAGGTTCAAACAGCTCAAAGCTACCTCCAAAGAAACAGTTGGAGTCTACAGGTTAGAAACTACCATTTGCTATTCATATTTAAACAGGACTAGAGGACAGCTTTGCAAGAATTATGCACATATTGACTCATATTGTCTAATAATGAGGCTTATAAAGAAAGACACAATAAGTCCCAATAAAATGCCTTAAATTCACTCTAAATGAATTGTGCAATGCAAAATGTAACCATGGAAACTCACAACTCAACATTCTGGGGCATTTTGGCCTTTTCACTACTTTAGGAAAGTATGATTTCCAAGCCTTCCGATGATGTCCATCCATTATCTGACACACTTGTTCCAATTGGGGTCACGAGGGGTGCTGGTGCAGTCAATGGGCGAGAGGCGGGGTACACCCTGGATAGGTCAACACAGTGGCACACAGGACAAACAACCATTCATGTACACACTCACACCTAAGGACAATTTAGAAAAACCAATTAACCTAACAGTCCTGCTTTTGGACTGTGGGAGGAAGCTGGAAAATCGAACCCAGAACCTTCTTGCTGCAAGGCAGCAGTGCTACCCACTGCACCACTGAGCAGCCTTTCCGATGATGTCAGACATGGAAATCAGATTATTTTGTGGAGTCCACACTATCTGAAAGAAGGCATTTTGAAGAGACTCAAGTAGAGAAATCTCAATCTGAAGCCCCATTTACACTACCTTTTTGAAACCGCCCGGAGATTGTCTATGCACGGTAAGCGAGATAAATGGCACGCACAACTGAACCGGACTGCGCCAGACTCAACCGAACCGCTCTAAAATGGAACTAGTTCATCAGTATTGCTTGCTGTGGTTGAGCACTGGCTCAACCACAAGTTCTCAGATAACAAAGAGCGCATGAGCAGACCGCGTCATCTCCTTACAGTCAGCCTCCGTAATCGTGAAATTTCAGACATTCATAAAAATACTAGCTTCCCTACCGTACCACACGATTTCCAGTGATGATAATGCTTAGCAGTATCATAAACCTCAACGTCCGTCATTTTTTCCTGCCTCTGTAAGCCCTGATTAGGCCATCGTTAGTCGTATCCAATTCCCAAAAGTCAACTGTCAAGTAAATTCACCAAAGGCTGCCTTCTTCGCCTGACTCTCAGCATAAACGAAAAATATCACAATGATCACAAATATAACTTCCTGAATGTTACGGGTGTCACCCTTTTAATTTGCTTGTTTATCTCTAGGGAGCGGTAGTACCATTATCATCACTAGGAGGAGAGAAACTGTGCTAGCGTCGTGTGTAAATGGTCGCAAAGGACCAAGCGCGGGGCGGTTAACTGATCCAAGCTTGGCAAGGATCGGTTTTCAGAGAGTAGCGTAAATGGGGTAAAATGTAGCCCTTCTCACCACCGTCTGCTGCTGGGTGTGGTAATGAGGCTCACTTACATCTCAGAGAAGCCACACCCACTGTAATAGTTAATGCAAATGTTTTTAGAATAAACACAACATATAGATTATGAAAGAGAAAGGTATTTTTGCAGATCTTTTTGCCTCCAATGAAGTAAATAGAACGAGCACGTTTTTCTCTGTTCTATGTTGCACGAGTCTTTTTTCTGGATGTCATCTCGGAAGTTTGCAATGTGTATCTTGGCTGCTAAAGAATCCAGTTGTATGTATTCAAGAAATACTTCAGAACATTCTCTGCGTAATGCCCACGGTTCATCTTGTCTCCTACAATCTTTACAGCGTCCATCTTCAGTGAATATTGATACACCGGTCAGTGTGCTGCCTTAATAACAGCCAACTTACCACGCTGTTCGCTTGAAGGGCGGGGGCAATAACACAGGAAACAAAAGATGGCTTACCCATTATGTAAATACAAACACACAAGGACACGCCCCCTCTGCATACGGGGAAATCTATGAAAACAAGCCTATTTCAAGCTTAAAGTTTACGCTTTTAAATATAACCATACTGCGGTCTGAAACGTGGAAAGGCTTCTTAATGACTTGGAAAAACAACCTTTTCTCATTTTGCTCTAAAGTTATCCTGAGCACATGTGTCCCTGGACTCCGTGACGGGTCACAAATTTCAATAGTTTTATTTCCCCCTGCAGGTCGCCTATTCACGGCCGTGGGCTTTTCTGCAAAAAAACCATTGAGGCCGGAGAAATGGTGATCGAATACTCTGGAAACGTGATTCGATCCGTGCTGACCGACAAACGTGAGAAATACTACGACGGAAAGGTAAGACTCAGGAACACATTCCATGTCTTCTGATGAATAAAGCATACCCAAAACCTGTCCTCTGTGTCCTCTCATCAGGGGATAGGCTGTTACATGTTTCGCATCGATGAGTACGAGGTGGTGGACGCCACGGTACATGGCAACGCCGCCCGCTTCATCAACCACTCCTGCGAGCCTAACTGCTACTCCCGAGTGATCGCTGTGAACGGCCAGAAGCACATCGTCATCTTCGCCTCTCGCCGCATCTGCTGTGGGGAGGAGCTCACGTACGACTACAAGTTCCCTATCGAAGACGCCAACAATAAGCTGCCCTGCAACTGCGGCACCAAAAGATGCCGCAAGTTCCTCAACTGACAGCTCCGCCCCCCGTCGGAAGGACAGGTGGGGGATTGCTGAGCATCGGGACGTTCTCCTTCTCCAAGCTTCCTGCTTGTTTACGTTTTAAGCTACAAATGACAACTGCTGCTGCAGGCGTTGGCAGGAAATAGCAGCTGCAGGTCGCACCATGTGTGCAGAAAGGGCCATATGTAGAAATCCAAACATATTGTGCCTCCTTTTGTCTAATTTATATTCGGCATTGAAAGTTTCACCTCGATAGGTGAGTAAAGAGATACGACGTTGCAATATTACCCTTTGTTATATTTGGATGATAGTTACCCCTTCATATTCTTATTTTCTACATCGGCCAATCCTTAATTTTTTAAAACATGTTATGGTCTACTAATATGAACTTTGAAGGAAATGATTTGAAAAAAAAAAAATCAAAGAACTTGGATCCATTTTTACACCAAAGTGCAATTTGTTGAAGGGACTTGAAACAGATTTTTGTTTTTGTTTCTATTGGAGTTTAAAATTAGGACCCTGTTTGTTTTTTTGTTGATTTCAGTGTTATTGATGCATATCTCCTTGTCTCAGTGTGCCCTGATGCCTTCAGAGCTACCCCCCTCCCCGCCCCACCCAGTAAAAGTTTGTGAAGTGTATATTTGACCCTGTAAATAGGCACAGCCTGATAGGAGCTGTACAAATGGAAACACTAGGGGGAGCAGTGGTCGCAGGAAAAAACATGACATCAGGGAAGAAGAGTTCTGTTCATAAGAGAAACGTTTATTTTTTACCATTGCTGTAAAAGGTTTTCCTCTGATTCAGCATCAGCTGATTGGTTTGAACTGAATCTGAGTTTGATTGGAACAAGCCTCTGGCCTGAGAGAGCGAGGCAGCTAGAGATTCTGGTGGACTGACAGCCAAAGGGACCAGAGAAACCTACTGATGTGCTTGAATAGACGTGCTTAAAATTGTATTTGTTTTCATTATTTTAGGGCGGGGGGGGATTCATTGGAATAATGCAGGAGGAAACCGATAGAAGTGTCAAGTCTGCTGTTATCAGACATGTTTAAACCTCCAAAATCACAGCAGCAGGAGAACCAAACCCCCCCTCCCCTCTCAGTTGAAGTTTCCTGCAGCTTCCTCCCCCCTCCCCTCTCTTGTCGGGCCTCTTGTGACCTTTAATTATGGAGAAAGGTTTTATTACTATAAGTTGTTTATCTGTCTTTTTACCACAGACAGGGAAATATCATGCTTGCTTTTGGGAAAACAAAACGATGTAAATAATGTATATTTTTTTACAAAAAAAAAAAAAAATTAAAAGCACTCACTAGTGAATAGCACTTAATGATGGTATTTATATTTTTAAAAATTCATATTTATTTTACTGTCATTTTTGTAGGAAATAGAGGTTTACAAACACTAATGCTTCGCTGATATGTTTTGTATTCCACTGCCTAAACAAAGTTTTTGTTTTTTTTGTTTGCTTGTTTTAAAATTTGGAGCCTGAATGTTTTTCTTTGATTCCAAAGACTGATACTGGTCTGTGGTTTGGTTCCCATTTAATTCAGTCCACCAGTAGCTCTTTATCTTCATCAGGCCATTTGGCCAGAGCTGATGTTTTTAGTTGTTTTTTTACTTTGTTCCCTTTTTTTTTTTTTTTTAACGTCCCAGTTGTAGCTACTGGTTATGGCCGTCATGTGAACTATTATTATGCACTTGAGAGAGCTTAGATTGTGGATCTACAGCGGATCTATATCTCTTCTCTCCAGCCTTATGGTCTCTACACCACGTTGATCTGAGAGGCGGGTCCCCTCGCAGGCTGCTGCTATCGAAGCTTTCCTTTGATCAGCCATGAGGCCGACCGGCTCACAGCTAATTGGAAACTAACAAATAAGCTATCCGTGTTTGTAAAATTCAACAAAAGTGCTTTGCAAACGGATTCACTCCTTTTTCACATTTTGTCTCCTAACAGCAAGTTGTGACGGATCAGTCTCCTATGCTGTTCGTAAGTCCGAAGGAAACAGTTTACTTTTAGTCTTGGTGTCATTAGGGGCAAGTCTCTAGCAGCTTTGCATGAGGAGAGTCTGTTTGATTGGTTTGCCTTTTAGTTGGCGTTATACGTTACATGATCAACACCAGATTCTCTGTTCCTACTGATGAACGAATCCCAGCAGTGTGATGCAAACACTGCCATGTTTCAAGGTGTTTGTTGCGTTTTAGCTGAATTATTGAGGCTTTTCATCTTATCCAATCAGAGCACCTTCTTCTGAATGGGTCCTCCTCTCGAGACACTATGGGCTTTCTCGCTGCGTCTCAAATCAATGCTTTCTATGCAAGGTGGCCTGTTAAGGTGGACAGCCATGTGTTGGTAGGTTTGTAGCTGGGCCCTTTTTACTGATAAGGTATTTTTTTAATTTGTAAACCTTTCTTAGTTAACTCCTCATTTTGGCTGCAATATGAGTCAAATACCATTAGGTTTGTTGTTTGTTGACAAAAAGTGAAAAAGTGAACTCTTCAGCAAAGCACCGTGTCCCTCTGCAGACTTGGTCGATAATAAAGAGGTGCCTTTATTTTAACTCTTATCAGCAGCACTCGTCACATTTCCATTGAGCCAATAACGGAAAAACAAAGAAGCATTCATTGCTCACCAGCATTCAGAAAAGAATTTTATCTTTTTTTTTTTTTTATGTTTCGCAAGCCTTCATGTCCCAGAGTGAATATTTAAAAACCTGAAGCCAGTCTCCATGTTTTGTTTTCTTTTTTGCCAACTTGTCGCCCTCCTCTATTCGAGCTGACTTTCTTATATGACCTACCTACAGGCCGTTAGCAGTAACTGCCCTGTTGTTTTTGTTCTGGTGAATCGAAAATAGAATACGAATCACAGACGGTTTGCACTTGAACTGTTTAACGGGCACTGTTTAGACATCTGGAATAAAAAAAGAACTTTAGTTCTTTCTCCAGACAGAAGTGCAGAAACCAGAAGCACAGAACATAAACCCAGAGTTTGTGTGAGCCTGGCTCTGACGGGTGTTTCTCATTGTGAAGCTCCAGCAAAGTGCACTTGATTCTCTCTGCTAAATAAAAAGTGAAGGCAGGGACCACACCGGCGGCCCTCACCTTCCCAACAGGCCCCCCCTGTGCGTTTGCATCCCATGATGCCGCCTCTGGGCTCGCTGGGTTCTGCTGCTAAGGTCAACAATGAATGTATGTTCTTCCTTCACATCACCAGAACTGTGATGGTGTTGATACTTGGTCAGCTGCTTTAAAAAAAAACAAAAACATTATTATCATTATTATTTAATCGAGTTATGTCTCTTGGTTGTTATTGAAGACCTCAAACGGCATCAGCGGTTTATTCTCAAGGACTGGGAATTATTTGGTGGTTCTTACTGGTTCAGCTCAGGTGGCTTCCTCCAGTACTGCTGGTAGAAATGGTTTCTGATGCTAAGGGCTTTCTCTTCATACAAGCTCCATTTTCAGGGTCAGAGTTCTCAGTAAACAATAAGTCGAGGTTCTTTTGCTGTCAACAGGATATATATATACAATAAGGCATCAACTTCTGTTGTCTCCTCGGACATTTTACCACGCCACAGCAGTGGCCCTTCTCCTTCATCATCTGTAATTATAGTATAAATACTCAACAGTATATGGAAACACGCAAAGTACTTTCTTGTTCTTGTATCTATACAAATATATGGAATGGACAGACAAACTTAGTTACAGTAGCAAAACAATGGATTTATAACGGTTATTAGCAACGTTTCAGTGTACTCTATAATGGTTTTGTGTTACAGTACTATCAGATAAAACTAACGTGCATCATTCTTTTTGTATATTGATATCCAGTACCAGTTTTGCTGTGCCTGTAAGCGAATCCTTCACCAGCAAGGAGCGCTGCAGTTTCTTTAAAAAATTTTTTTCTGGGATAAAACATTTTTTCATGTGATAAGAAATGTAACTGTCAATGTGGTTGTGAACTTCTTGAGATCAGACGTTTGGGTTTATTTTTCTGGTTGTTGTAGTGAATGTTTTTATTTTTTTATTTTAATGCTTCTCAGATTTTTTTTTTTTTAACAGGGATTTTTCAGACGGCTTACTTGATGTGGTAAAATTTGGAGTTCGGTTTGTGCAGACAGACCATGGGTTTAAAGAAACCACCATAATGGCTTCTTATGTTTTTAATTCTTGACCTCAAACAGCTTTCCTGTCTCCTTTGGCCCTCTTCCTTTCTCTCCTCCGAAGCTTTGGTTCTACTTTGGATGTACTTTTTTTATAAAAACTCAAAATGCTGACATTGAGAAAGTTTAATTTATTTATTTTCCACAGCATCCATGTGGAACCGTTCCTTTCAGTTTCGGAGAGGGCGTATGAGTACTTAACCTGTATTTGTAATTTTGTTGTGTATAGACGGCTTAAGATGGGATGTAGTGTTAAGAAAAAGGCAGGATGGGGGTTACAGTAGGATGTGGACAAAGAGGGATCATGAATGGGCCAGTTTGCTTATGCCTTGAATATACCTTTGTCTTATACCAACATCTTCCTGCTTTTTGTAATTTAAAAAAGAAATGACAAAAAAAAGGGTCTTCTTACAGCATTCATTTGTTCTCCCATTTAACAGTGTTCTACACATAAGTGAAGTGAAGGAAAACCACCACCGTGAAAAATAAACCACAAACTACTTGGTTGAATGTATAATTAGGTAACAAAGTTGTACATAATGTAAAAAAAGTTTCTAATCATGTTTATTTTCTATGCACTTTTTTTATTTAAGTGATAGTTTAAATAATAAACATGTCGCCTTTACTCTTTCTTTGTCCGCGTCTTTCCTTTGGGTCACTCATTTCTACGGCAAGTAAACTGAAAAATATGCTAAATAGTTTTTTACCGTATAACTTGAGGTTTTTAATCTGGACAATTGACTTTCTGTGAGGTCTTAAAAAAATAATTTATTTGCACTTGTTCTTCACAAGTAGGCCTGTAAAGTGACCAAAGCAAGGTTCTACGATGTTTCTAATCATCCAGATATCAGGGTTTTGCTGTTGAGTCACCACAGTTTTTAGGCTATTAAGAGTTCAGGGAAATATGCGTTTACAGTTTTAAAAGTAGAGAACCGAGATTCAATGTTACATAAAAGATGAAAAACGACATTTACACAGTCTTTTAAAGTCTGGAACAGTTTCCTTTGTTTTTATTTGACCACACTGTTCCTACAGCACTGAAAACTAGGAAAACTCACCCTTAGTAGTCTTTAAAAGGCCTTTAAAGTCTTAAAAAGACACCCAAGTTTTTTGCTTGGTCATGATTGATGACCAGCTGACCTTTAAAGATAATTGTTACCTCCATCACACTACTAAACATAAATATCTGGCCATACCTAATTTAACATGCTACACAGCTCCTGGTGCAGTCTATTGTTATGTCCTGCCTTGACTATTGTAACACCCTCCTGACTGGTCTCCTAGCCTGTACGATAAAACTGTTGATCCAGAACGGGGCGGTGCTACTGGCCATAAATCATCCCAAAAAGTTTCACGTCAACCCTCTGTTCACTGAGCTTCACTTGTTACCCCTGGCTGTCCGCGTTAAATTCAAGTCCTTGATATTATCCTACAAAGTGCTTAAGGGTACGACTCCCGTCTACTTTAAAGGCTCATGTCACAACTAGGTCAGCAATGGATTGTCTAGCAGTGTCTACACCATGCTTAAAACAATCCAGACTGCTTTCTTGTGTTGTTCCAAGATGGTGGAATGACCTACTAAGAGCTACAAGAACAGCAGCGTCCCCATCTATCTTTAGGAAACTCCTAAAGATCCGCCTCTTCAAAGAGCATCTCCTATCCTAACGCTAACCCATACCTCTGGACCCCTCTACTACTCATTCTGCACTCTCTCTCTTTGCTGTCACCACTGATTCTGACTAGGAATTTTTTTTCTCTAGAGAACTTGTTATATTGACACCTGTAAAATTGCGTCTACTTTGTAAGTCGCTTTGGATAAAAGCATTTGCTAAATGCATAAACATAAACATAAAAAGCTTTAAAAACATTTTTTTGCACCACCTTGGAAAGTAAGAGATACATCTAGAAAATATTAATCTTGGCTTGCATGTTTAGAAGTCTGGCGAGTAGGGCATCTACAATATAGCTTTTCAAACCAGTTTTTAAAGTCAACTCTACTGGTCTTTATGTCCTCTCTATAAGTCTGCAACATGGTTCCTACAACGTTAAAAGGTTTCCAAGGCAAAGAGTCTGCAAAACTGTTGTAATGCCGTCTGATACATTCAGGAAAAGTATACAATCTATTTTTATGATTTACTAAATTAGAACTGCTATGGAAAACAGCACATTTTAATGTCAAGCTGTTTGGATATAGTGCTGGAGTTCAGATAACCAGGCTTCAATGCTTTCTGGAAAAGTTTAGAAATTGGGTTACGATATTCTGAAATTTTAAATTATAATTATAAAGTATGAAAGTGGGTAGCACTGCTGCGTTGTAGCAAGAAGGTTGTGGATTCGATTCCCAGCCCGGGGTTTCTGCATGGGGGTTTGCATGTTCTCCATGCACTCCAGCTTCCTCCCACAGTCCAAAAACATGACGGTTAGGTTAATTAGCTTCTCTAAGTTCTCCTTAGGTCTGTGTGAATGGTTGTTTGTCCTGTTTCTCTCTGTCTTGCCCTGCGAAGGACTGGCGACCTGTCCAGGGTGTACCCCGCCTCTCGCCCAGCTGGAGATGGGCACCAGCATCCCTCGTGACCCCACTTGGGGTTAAGTGTGTCAGAAAATGGATGGATGAAAAAACAAAGTTCCTATAGTTATAAAGAAAAACTTAAGAAACAAGTAGTAAAGAACGGTGTTCTTATACAGTTTCAAAAAGTCCTGAAAACGGTCCAAGATTTCCCCAACAATCTAGAAAATAGTTTTTACACGCTCTTAAAAATCGAGGAAAAAGTTTAGGCCCCATTTCCTAAACACCCACTAAATGCAGCTTAAACTATCTCTTTTGCTAAAATTAGCTGCACATCCTCTGAGTCTTCCAGAAAGTGTCTGGAGTCTAAAAAGTGCTGAGGCTGGTGGTTCTAATTAAATCCATGTCCTAACTTGCGTTGCAGTTCAGGCCCTCAGCAGGGGCTTGCTAATAAGGCTCCTGAATGCAGCCTGGTGACGGGAATTCAAAGGACTTTGTGCTGATGTGTGATGGAGCTGCCAGCCCACAACATTCCCAGGAAACCACACTTTCTGTTGAAACATTGAGCAGATCCATGTGTTTCATGAGGTCCTTTTCCTTACTGCTTGCATATGTTACAGCATAAGTGTTTTATTAAGAGGCTGGAAGGTGTGTCCTCAGTTCCTAAAGGATTTTCCCAATTTAAAGGATACCTCTGGCAAAATAACTCAGTCACCATACAAGTTCATTTACATTTACACTATCCAGCTCATTCTGGGGGATCCCAAGAGGATTATAGGCAAGCAGAGATGCATATAATCCCTACAGTGATTCTAGTTTATCCTCCTGGGTCTCGTCCAAGTTGGAGGAATCTGTTATGTATGGAGGTTCTGATCCATTCAGTGGTTTATAGAGTGTGTAAAGTGTAAAGACTTCAGAATCAACTGCAAATGTCTGATGTCTTTGTATGAAAGTCCTCCCTAACTAGTAGAGCACAATATGGGTGTTGGTCCATTTTATAGGAGGATTTTATCTGAATGTCTAGTGGAGTCACGTGACCAACAGGGAGCAAAAAGTAGTTTTTATCTGTCTGACTGGCCAGTTAACTGAGTTCACTATAAAGTCCACTATATAGTCCCCGCTCTATGCAGCGATTGAGGGGTTAGGGCGGACTTTTTAGGCAAATCTATAAAAACACTTTTGAAGTTATCAATTCTACAAAAATATGTGGGTTTGGCACATTCTGATTTAATTTCTTAAACAACATGCAGAATCATACAGAGAGGGACAACAGGGAAAATTCAATCTTCGGGTGATAAAAAAAGGAATGAATCAAACAAATAAGCGATAACTTAGAGACACAAGAGGAGGCTGAGAGATAAGGCAAAGTTAATCACCCAGGGCTGATGAGTTCCACTGCTCAGACTCTCCAACATAGATCCTCTGGCTCAGTTCTTCCAAGTTGCCACATAATCTTACAGAAAATGTTTTAAATAAAATGCTGTGGCTAATAGTAGCATAAATACTCTATTATCAGTTACTCTGACGACTTTGACTAAAACTTATCAGCTTCTTCCAGCATATTCAGAACTATTAGAAGCCTTTTGGATGAGAGGTAAAGCACCTTCAATAGGCAAGGCAAGTTCATTTATATATCACATTTCAGTAGCACCACAATTCAATGGGATATTTATATGAGAAAAAATAAAATTGGGTGGCATAAAGGCAACACAAATAATCAGAGAAAATAAAAATTAATTATTAAACTAACATGATTAATTAAAAAAATTAAAATAAAAATTCACAATAACCTGGATGACTGCGAATCTATAGATTATGATGTGTTTTTTCATATAAATCAAATTTTGCAAAAGAAATGAGTAAATGGAAAAGTACATTTTGGTAAAATGGCTACTTATTTGGTGAGTGGTTCAACATATCTCTTATTTGAAAAATGATGTAGTCAAAAAGACAAATATAGAAACCTGTTTAAAATGTTGGTATTTAAAAGACAAAAAAATACAATAATAGGTTAAAGTAGAATAAATACATTTATAAATCAGTTTTTAAAATAAAAATGTATGAAGTCTTATTAAGAGCAGATTTTTTTTATTTGTTACTGCATATCCAGTGGATCTTTGAAGGAAAACATTAACACAACAAAACTTGTGCTCAAACAATAGTTTTCACTTTATTATAAAGGTATTTTTTTTTTCTGTGGTTCATTTCTGGAAAGTCGATTCTTCGTTTAGTAAAATGATTTGGAGTAGGTAGAGTAGCAACACTTCAAAGGATTACTGAAACAATGTCTTTAATTAAATCATTATATTGATAAGTGGAATAAAAATGTCCTGAAAAGTAAAATACCTATTTTTAAAAAAGTTATGTGATGTTAAATCAATGTAATTAATACATAAGGAAACAAAATAAATTTTACCAATGTATTACTAACACTACATCATTATATTATAAAATAAATAGCTTTATATCTACATAAAATAACTAAGTTGGATATAAAATCTACAAAGCAAATAAATGCCCCCAACATACACAACACATCAGCTCTGTACATGAAACGTTCATCTTGGCACTGATGATTTTATTGGTTTATTCCATCCACCTGCCTAGCTCCACCCAGTTTTCTTTACCTGTCATCTGAACCACCTCTTCCAGCTTCTACTTAAACTATTTGGTCACAGCCATCAGTGCCAGATTATTTGAGCTGTGGGTGAGAGTTCTGTAGCATACCCAGTTTGTTTATTCTCTTAACCTGATCCTGACTACTTTCTGCTCTCAGACCGCTGTGCCTGCTGCCCCAGTCCCGATCTGTTTGCCTGACCCGTCTTCGGAGTCCTTCTCAGTTCTGCCTGCTACGACCTTGGATCTGTCTCCTGACCATGGCTTTGATTTCCCTA